CCAAGGCAGAGTGGCATATGGCAGAGGGCCAACCACTCATGGTGGTGGAAGACAGCAAAAAGCAGCAAGAGGAGAGGGGAGCAAGCCAATTTCCCTCCTTTATATTGTATGTAGGCTACCTGCCCTAGGGCTGGTGCAGCACTCACCATAATCCCAGCATTGGACTATGAATCCCAGCATTGGACTATGAATCAATCACAAACTCTAGATTCAGCTGCCTCTGAAAAACCCTTCCCTCTATGGCCGCACAAGGCTTTGAGGGGACGTCCAGACACAAGCCATAACAGTCAGTGCTGAATCAATGTCCAGTGCTGTGATTTTGAAGGCTGAGGAGGAAGGAAATGGCCCCTAACAGGCATCCTGTGGGTCCGTGTTCTCTCCGTCTGTGGACGTCCACTTTGGCCTCTGTTGAAATTGTTCCTTCTGCAAGCATCCTTATGGCTGTCACCATTTCTCCTCTTCCCCTCACAGCCTCCCCACTGTCCTTATCACATATCCCCTTGCACCTGCTCTTCTAAGGGCCGTGTCCCCACCAGACTCTGATGCTCTCAGGCTCTGTTGGCTTGCTGCTGCCCACCACAGCCTTCCGTGTCAGTGTGCATGACAGTCTCGCTGAGCCAGGCAAGGTGGTGCACATCTGTAATCCCAGGTGGCTGAGGAGGCTGAGGCAGGATGATCACAAGTTCGAGACCCGGTCTTGGAATAAAAATAACAAGGCTGGAGGTGTAGCTCAGTGCGAGACATGAGTTTAATTGCTAGTACCAAAATGAATGAAAAGTAGTTTTAAAACGCTCTTGAGAGTGTAGCTCAGCGGTAATGCCTTTGCCTAACACATGCAAGGTCCTGTATTCATTCCCAAGCACCACAGACACAAAGAGAAGTACTTGTTGAGTAGATGAATGAAGCCGTTTCCTTCTGCCCCTGCATGTTGCTGGTCCTCACAGGTGGCACTTCACGGCATGCTGCTTCGTTCTGGTGGCTTCCGACTGGTGAAGCATGACCAGATAGGTGGGAATTCAAGCTACAGAGTCAGAACTTGGGTTCCAGTTTTGTTTAACCATCCACTGTGTGATCAAGGGAAAATTACCTCCCTTTTCTGAGCCTCAAGTTTCCTCACTTGTCAAATGGTGAGAATAATGCCCTGCTGGAAGACTGTGCACAAAAATGAAATCTAATACCTTATAAGGGATGAATACAGTTTCTGAAATTTAGGATGTGCCAACCAGGGTGATGCTGTCATTGTTATCCCTAAGAAGACAACCATGCCTGTGTCATTGTGGCCCTGGTAATAATTGCATCAGAATTCCCAGCCCCCATCTGCAGTAGAACAGTCTCCAGTTAGCTGGGGTCACAGAGAGTAAGTGTTAATTAATGATTTAGTTGAACTCTAAGGAATAGTTCAGTGTCTCAGATCGCTTATCTTTGAACAAAGAGGCTGTGGGGGGTTGCGGGCAGCTGGATTTTCTGATATGCGCGTGTTTGTTAGGATGTGCAAGTGTGAGGGAAGGGAATTAGTGTTTGCGTTCAGAAGGGCTGAGCTTCGGGGATCCACACAGCCCTGCATGTGGAGGGGCTGTGTCGGAGACAGAACCTTCTCTGCTCTCTGCGGTGTGTAGGGGGAGTTAGGTGGCAGGGAGCAGGTCTGGAGTTTCAGGAGAAGAAAGTTTCTCCAGATTGGGAGTGCTGCAGCGATAGGCAAGGCCAAGTCCTCTTGTCAAGAGAGCACATTAGAATCCAGGCTGTGCTGGACCCACTCCTAACAAGAGGAAAAGGGCGCCAGGAAACCAGCACAGGGATGTAAAGAAGGACTGTGGTTTCCAAAGAGGGCGGGGGTAAAAGAGCGTGGAATACTTGGGGTGAGTTGTCTCCTGAGTTCCTTGGGGACATGTTGGTCTTTCCGAAACAGCAGTTGTCTTTCCAGATGTGAAAATAACTTTGTTGGTTTGTTTTAAACATTGGATGAAATAATGAAATAATGTACATGAAGGCACCGCTGCCATTGGGTTCTGTCTATATCAAAGCAGTCTGCTCCTCTCTTCAGAGTGCTTTGGGGTGCTCAAGACACTGTTCCCATTTCTTACTCTTCTCAGTTCTCCTAAGGGCTTGCTGTTGGTCATGGTTGTTGTTTTTATTGTGTGTTCTTTATAGATGGGGACATGGAGTCCCTGAGGGTTGGCTGAGTTGCCAGGGGTCATAGGGATAGAAGGTGGCAGAGCCAACAGTTCTCTTCTGCAAAAGCAGCTTACTAGGGATGACCCTGTTCCTGAAGTTCTCAGCTGGTAGAAGGTGAAGTATCCAGGGGCTTTGTGGGTGGGACCAGGGTAGAAGCGCTGGCCTTTCTGTCCCCCATAAAGCAATTTATGACTCTATACTTGAAACCTCCAGTAATCTAGAGGGAACAAAACTAATCTCTCCTTCCAGTGTGGCCCCAAGCAGCTGTGTAGACCTGTTGACAGCCCCCACCCCAGCTTCTCCAGCAGCTCTGTGGTACACAGCCATCTTCCAGGCGTAGAAGGGCTTATGTGAGCAGGTGGACTCTCTTCACCCCAGGGAGGAGTGGATTGTCCTAAAAGGACGTGCTGTGCAGATGGAGAAATAGTCTGTCTGTAGACACCAGCAATGTTTGTGGTCATAGGAAGCTATGCAAGATTACGTGACCTTTACCGTGGAATGTGGAAAACACATATTTGTATATTCTCTACAGCCACCCTATGAAGTAGGCGTGTTACTTCCTCTTTGCTATATGAGTCATCTGAGGGCCAAAGAGTTTTAGAAACTTGCTCAAGAACCCATGATAAGGCTTAAACAGGGGATTTAAACCAGATAGTCTTGCTCTGAGGCCTGTGCTCTCAAATATTACACTTAGCTCATTCATGAAACTACCTTTCTACCCACCCTTTCATCTATCACCCATCTGTTCATCCATCCTCTCACTTATTACATGATTCGTCTGTTCATTCATTCATCCATCCACCCACTCACCCACCTCTCCATCCATCCATCACTCATCCACGCATCCACCCATGTCAGTCTAACATGGTCCTCTGCTTCATCTCTGGGAGAAATTCCACCCCCTGACCATGTGCTTTGTAGAGCTGGAGACCTCCATGCCAGGACACATCCATTAGCTCCCAAGAAATAGCTTGGCTTGCTGCTGACACTCCAGTTGGCCTCCTCTGCATATTCACTTTTCTCCCTCTTGAAACCTGTGGAATATATCTCCCTACAACGTTCTCCAAGTAAGCCAAGTGATACGCTCCTGCAGAAGCACTGTGGGTTTCCTAAGCATTGTTACAAACAATACACAAACCAGCTCCATTCCTTAACCCACAGGGCAGTGGTTGGATGAGTTGAGCATGCTTTTATTCTTTAAAAACTGTTATAGAGTTTATGTGCTACATCTAAAAATTATGCAATAAATCTAAAACAGATGTTTACAGAACATTTTGTAAAGGAAGAAATTGTAAGAGACATAGGCCAATTGAAGTGGAGATAAATCAGTTACAGAAACAATTAAAATTGTCTAGGAGATGCAGTATTATGGAGGGGAAATAGGGCCTGGCTATTTCCATAGTTATTAATTATGAAGTAATAAAAACCGTTTATTTTGCATTAGCCTCTGTTGTTTATAAACCTCAGGTGAGAAATCCCAGTTTACCGAAATTCAAACATGCAAACGGTCTAATGATCCTCATGTATCTATTACTCATCTTCAACAATTAGCAACTTAAGTGCAACTACTTTCCCTGTCCTCTGTTTTTCCTGAGTTTCAAGGACATATCCTTCACTTGTTACTTAATTTCATTGCATCAAAATTCCCTTCTGTGAGAGTATATTATATGGTCATTGAACTGTGACACACTTTTGAATAGCATTGTTTACTTTTTCATTGAAATTTAGTATTCTGGGGGTACAGCATTGGGGATTTCCCTCCATAAAATTTAAAAAATGTCAGATCCACAGCAAAATAGAAATAATAATAAATGAACTCAAAATGTCCTTCACTTAGATACAGCAGTTATTAGCATTAGGGCTGGCATTTCCCTAGGTGTGTGTGTTCGTGGGGCTGGAGGAGGGTTCCCTTACCTTTAATGACCCACTGACAGGAGCACATGACTGCAGAACCGGACAACAGGTTCAGATTGCATGGTTGGTCAGCTGCCTCATGACCTCTTCATGTGTAAATGGGAATAATGAGCACGTATGCTCTGGGGTTATGCAGGGTACACGGTAGGCTCTCTGCAACACTGCCTATCTCCCCTCCCCCTCCCCCACCCCTCCCCCTTCCCCTCCTCCTGCCTTCTAGTTGTGCCCCTGGGTGGCAGTCAGGGTTGCTGCATGGGGGCACTGGCTCTGCTGATTCAGATCCTTTCTGATCCCTGTGGAAGAGCCTTGCAGTTGAGAGAGCCGGTGTGGTGTAGTGATAAAGAGAGTAGGTATGGGGTGAGAAAGGTTCAGACCCTAGCCCTGCCCTTATCAGTTTTGCAATATGGTTAAATTACTTAATCTCTGTAAAATGGGGCTAGAAAACATTCTTAACTCAATGAGTAGTTGTCAGCAGATGAGATGGGCGGGCCCCAGCCTTTGGTCCCGTGTAGGCCTTCAAAGGCCCAGGAAGTGTTCATGATCATCAGTCTTACGAATAAGGGCAGATCAGCATGGTGCTGTTTGTGTAGGTGCTCCATAAATGTTATTTGTTAAAACCCTACATCAGTTGGACTTTCAGAGTCTCAGTCTGCTCTGCAGCCATGGAAAGGAATAAAAGTCTCTTGAGAAAGCCTGCAGTGTGATGCTGAGCATCTAGCCGGGATAGGGTCAGGAGCCATCATGGGGCAGGACTGGGAGTGTGGAGTGTGACTCTGGCCCCTTTCAGGGACATCCTGACATAAGACCAGGCCATGGGCAGTCCTGAGAGTGGGGCCAATCCCTGGCTGGGGCTTGGTGGTGTCCTCGATGTCTGGGACTGACTTTCCTCTAACTTTTCTGACCCTTGTCTCCTTCCCCAGGTCGAAAGGATTGTAGACAAGAGGAAGAACAAGAAGGGGAAATGGGAGTACCTCATCCGGTGGAAAGGCTACGGGAGCACGGAGGACACATGGGAGCCAGAGCACCACCTCCTGCACTGTGAAGAGTTCATCGACGAGTTCAACGGGCTGCACCTGGCCAAGGACAAGAGGGTCAAGGCCGGGAAGCAGGCGGGCACCTCCAAGCTCCTGCGTGACACCCGCAGCCCCGCGTCGGTGGAGAAACTCTCCCACAGGCCTGCGGAGCCAGGAAAGAGCAAAGGGACTTCCCACAAGCGGAAGCGAATCAACCCGCCCCTGTCCAAGCCCAGGAAGGGCTACTCAGGCAAACCCCCTGGGGCCGGGGACAGGGCTGCCAAGACTGTGTCCTACAGGACTACACCCAGCGGCCTGCAGATCATGCCCCTGAAAAAGGCCCCAAATGGCATGGAAAACGGGGATGCCGGCTCTGAGAAAGATGAGAGGCACTTTGGAAACGGGTCCCATCAGCCTGATGTGGATTTGACCGACCATGTCGGGGAGCAGGACACCAGCAGTGGCGAATGTGACGGGCCCCACTCGGCGCTGGTGGAGAACGGGCTTGGTCTGTTGGCTTTTCTTTCTCTTGGGTTTGGCTCTGGTGTGGTGGATGGGGTTTTACCTGCAGCCCAGGGACATTCACAAGACACTCCCCCTCCCTCCCGTGCTTGACATTAGCTACTCAGCAATTCTCCTGTCCCCCCTTACTTAGTGCCATGTGCTGCATCAGTGACACACCCTTGCATGTGCTGCTGAGCTGAGACCAGAGTGGGTGGGCACTCCCTGACTGCTTCCAGGCACCGATGGCCATGGTCATCACTCTAGATCCACATTGCCAAGGGGGTGCAGTGTCCTCACACCCCAAGAACAGGGACTCATGTCCCCTGAGGGTCAGCGCCTTTCCAGTGCCCACAAAGAGCCCTTGCTTCTGTCTCAACATGCCTGGCAGGACAGAGCTCAGAGTGGAGCCTGGGCTGGGTAGGCTTTTCCTTCTTCAGCTCGCTCTGGACATGGCCTTCAGCAAACGAGTCCACAGCTGGAGCTTCTTGCCTTCGCTAGGATGGAGGATTGGGCTCATTTCGGCGTTAGGTCCTGCCTTAGTCCTTTCAGGATGCTATAAAAAAGAATTAGATTGGGTAATTTATAAACAATAGAGGTTTGTTTCTCATAGTTCCAGAGACTGGGAAGCCCAAGATCAGGGAGTCAGAGAGTGTCTGATGAGGGCCTGTGCTTCATAGACGGCGGTGTCCAGATGTGTCCTTACTGGTGGAAGGGACAGGGCCCCTTTTGCTTGGGAACTTGTTCATTTATGATTTAATCACCTTTTAAAAGCCCCATCTTTTGATGCTATCGCATGGTGTTTAGGCTGCAGCATGTGAATCTGGGGGACACCAACATCCAGACCCTAGCAGGAATTAGACTGCTCTGATACGATCCTGTGCTAAGTCTCTGGTTTGCACCTTTTACTCTGTCCTGGAAGCAACACAGCTTCAGTATGTTGTGTTGGGTTGTGGAATTCCTCCTGCCTGCTGAGTCTCTGCAGGCCAAATTAAGGAGAGGAGGCAAAGACCCAGGTAATTCAAGTTCCCAAGCCCAGTGTTTCTTTAACTGAGTACCTCGTGGCTGGCATCTTGCAGCTGAGCTCTCCGTGCCAGCTACCTGTGCACTCTCGTTCCAGGGACACCTGCGTGTCTACCTGCTGCAGTTGCTACTTCAGCTGTGAAAGGCCTAAACCTTGGGATGCAAGGAAGTCCCCAATGGGCATGGACAGTCTGTGGCCAGCAGAACAGGGCCATCGGGCATCCCAGAGGGAACCAGGGTGTGTGGGATAGGGGTGCTGGGTGCAGGAGGCACAGCTGGCTGGATGGAGTGGTGAGGCCAACACTGGAAAGGTGGGGGTGACTGCAGGAGGTGGCACGTTTGGGATGTGTTCCTCAGGGGGAGCTTGCTGTCCCCGAAGATTCTTGCCCAGGAGCCTAAGCAGTCACGTTAAAGTTCCTCTTTGTCCAGGGAGAGGAATTTCACCTGAGCAGGTTTATTTGGCTGCCTTGGCCCCAGACTGACTCCTGTTTCCGTCTGGGGATCCCGGATGCTGAGGTGCCGGGCCCTGCCAGCATATGGAAGAGCTGTCTGTGTTAAGCAGCCATCTCTAGGAGAGAAGTGGGCTCGTGGAAATGAGGCTTGGCGCAAGCATCCTGTTTGATGTTCCTGTGGCAGCTGCTGGCAGTCGCGGCGTTCCCTGTCTTGGGAAGGGTGGTGAGGGAGCTCCTGGGGCTCCCTGCTGCCGTGCAGGAGGCTGGGGCATCCCTGGCACCTGGCAGTTGGCTCCCCTGCCCTGCTCAGAGCACCGCTGGCCCAGAGTAAGGAGAAGCGCGAGGGAGGGAGGGGTTTGCTGAGTGAGTGCCGGACTTCAGTGGGAAAGAGAGAAGGTGGCCTCACAGCCTGTGCCACATTCCAGAGGGGGCAGAGCCTCATTGACGCCCCCTGATCCGCGACCTGGTGATAGGGCTGGGTACCCCACTGTCAGGAGAAGCAGGTGAGGCCAGCCGGGGAGGACTGGAGTAGTCTGGCGAGCTCCAAACTGCTGTGCCCGCTGCTCCATCCTGCCCAAGCCTAGAAAGAAAGAAGGAAGCCGCTTGCCTCTGCTGTGTTCTGTTTTAGCTGCTCCAGAAGGGCCTTTCTGCTCAGTTGCATCCCACAGTAGTGGTGTCCTCTGCGAGAACCCCCTGCGGGGTAAGGCAAAGGTTCTCAGATTTCACACGTGGAAGCTCAGAGGTAACCTGTGAGAAGTGTAGCGCCTATGGTGTCTGGCCGCTGAGCCTGGGGTTCAGGCTGAAAGCTGGGCTTTTAACGGGCACCCCCTTGGACATATGCTGCATGGCAAATGTGCGTGGCCATGAAGTTTCACCTCCGGTATCGATTTCATTTGATTCAATACTGATATTTTAAGCACTTCCTCAGGATTAGTCACCATGCTAGGTGTTGGAGTAGAGTAATAAAAAGATAGGTAGAACTTTGCCCTCTGAAACTTGTAGTCCACTCTCTAGTACGTAGGAGTGGCTGCCTTTAGCTCCATGTTGAGAAGACAAAAGCTGACTCCACGGCAGGAGTAACATGCATGTTGTCGACATGGTACACCTTTGTCACATCTGCATTCATGTCTTCTGTCACCGCTAGTAATGATCAATATCCTGCCAGTTCCAGCCTTTAATTCTCTAGTAGAACTAGCTTGTTATGTGGGACAGACTGGACTAGGGGAGAGGGGAAGACTGGTAATTCTTGCCAGAAAGGGAAGAGTCATGTCAAAGAGAGTGGTTTGGGGTTCTTGGACAAGACTCAAGACAGAGGAGGTGTTGTCATACTGGAACTTTCCCCCAAGGAGATGGTAGGGTAGTGAAACAGAACCCAGCTCCATTGTTTTCCGACCTAAGGAAGCGCCAGCGAGGACAGCATCCACACCAAGTGCAGCCCCGAAGGTCCTCCTACCCCTCCCTCAGCACCCCTTCCCTGACTCGGAGCCCTGGACCCACCTCCCAGTGGCTGAGGGTGGGCGGGAGGAGGGGGTGTGGAGCAGCAGAGGCGGGGGCTCATCCTAGCCTGGCAGAGGGGACGGGGCTCAGGCTGTACTGTGTGGTACGTGCTTTGGGGATGGGTTGTTGCTTTTTTTGTGGTTTGAACTTCTTTTGGTGAGGTAAGGTTTTGCATACAGAAGAGCAGCTTACGTAAGGGACGTGTCACTCACTTATGCTGACGTCCCTGATCTGTGCTGTGAGAGCAAATGCTAAATCGGGCTGCACCTTGGTGCTTTGACTCCTGACTGAGCTCCCCGAAGAGGCGTCTGTGGACATGCTGCGGCTCAGTGCTGCTCGGTTCTGATTCTCCTCCAGTAACGGCATATGGCTTTGTGGGCCCAAGACCATCTGCCCCAGTCTCCCTCAGGGGCCTTGTTAAAACAGGCTCTACCCTGATCAAACCAATGGGGACCTGGGGGGCGCAAGGTGTGAGTTATACATGTCAGATGCTGGATTTCAGCGGCTGCGGGTATAGACGGCAGCTCCTGCAGAGTTGTTCAGTTGTACGCGATGGTTTGCAGATGTGTGCGTTGGTAGATCCAGAGCTCCTTTTTGGGGTGTAAGCTTGTGAGTGGAAATGGGAGTTGGCCTTCAAAAGTTTAAAGCCTGACACAGTTCCTCTTTCTCTCTGATAAGTTTTCTACAAGGCCTCTCTCTGTATCTTTTATTTCTTTCTCCAGATAGGATAAAACAGAGAGGCTTTATCCTTTTGGAAGCGCTATTAGATTAGGCAGCCACTCCTGTTCTGCAGGGAGAGCTGCTCTGAGCTTTTGTCTACAAAAGTGTCCCGGCTGTTCAGAGTCATGAACGCCTTGACCGCGGGAGCCCCCAACCAGGACCCGCTGTTCCTCTTCCAGCCTGGAGCGACTCCTGCCTCCCAGCATCCTCCAGGTCCGTGAAGCCCGTGAGCCTCCCTGCGGGTGCTGAGCCTGTGGCTCTGGGTCCACTTTTGATTTCTGAGAATCCTTTCCTGTGTGTCATGCGGATTGTCGTGTGTCGCCCAGCCTCACCACGCTTCGGTGGTGATTCGGTGTTTTCAGAGTTTTTCCTACCCTTGAGTGAGTCAGCCCCTGTGAGCCAGCAACATTTGCCCTTTTCTCTTCGCTGATCTTTTACAGTGATCTCAGTCTTCACTTGTAGAATGTTTGTTTATCTCTTCCTACTCTTTCCACACGATCATTTTCCCTTAATTGATCACAACGGAGAAGTTGTGTTTTCTTTCTTTTTTTTTTCTGGTACTGGGAATCGAACTCACGACCTCGAACTTGCCAGGCAGGCGCTGTGCTGCTGAGCTAAATCCCCAGCCCGAGAAGCTGTGTTTTCAAAGCAGTGCAGCACTGAGCATGGGAAAGGCCCTATGCCTCTTGAGACCTCCAACATCTGGAAGATAGAGCTAGCGTGGACCCCCCAGAGGGCAGTGCGGACCCCCCCAGGGGGCAGTGACAGTAGCTGGTCCAGGGATCCTTCTTGGGGAACCACTGTCCTAGACTAGTAAGTTCCAGGATGGCTGAGGTGAGATGCAGGTGGTCTAACTGGGAAGAGCTCATGTACTTGTGTTCTTAATCTTGTATTTGCATTTATAGAATTGGGTAAGTGGAAAGTTTGTGGCTTTAAGTTGGAGGTATAAAAGGTAGGAACTTACCCGAGGTAGGACATGGGAGTTTACAGAGTACATTTGGTGACCCTCAGGCAGTCTCAGACCCTCAGAGGCAGCTGCTATTCTATCCATTTTACAGGGGTGGAGACTCATTATAGTACCTGGGTTGGGACCAGGCGAGAGACTCAGGTAGTTTGACTCCAGAGTTGGCCTCTGAACTGCTGCCTAATTGGCTTCCGGGCAATAAAGAGCAATTCCTAAGCCTTCCTAGTTACTGAAAAAACTGAGTTCTGGTGGGGGCAGGGAGTGCTGATGGGCCAGATCCCTTTCTGTGACGCCCTCAGGGCAGAACTGAGGAGGGATGCCACCCTTCTCAGCCTGGGATGGTAGGACAGG